AATGTTTCAAGTATAGGATAATCAAACAGAAAAGCTTTGTTTACGCTATGCATAAAATGGCCATGTAGCTTTACAAATTGATTGATTAACACTTGATTTTCCATTTGAAGCATTAAAATAAAACAGAGACTAGTGCTTTCAGTTCTATCAAAATTTTCCCTCAAAGTCCAGGTCTTGGAGAACTGGCTTTTTAAAATTGCAATGTTCTTGGATTTTTAGGTAAACAGGTAAAATTGAGTACTTTCAGTGAAGAAAAATAATATGAGCGCACTCTATATTCTAAATAATAAAAGATGTCTTTGAATCCTCAGAATCAGTTTTGTCGTTTACTAGTTGCATATTTTAGATAAAAGTTTGCGCTCTATATTAAATATCAAAAAATAGCTTTTAAAATTGGCCTTTTTGTAGACTTTTTCAGAATATGAGGAAATTTACGCATTTCACAACGTCACAATGCATTGACTAACCAGAAAATTACGTCATGTTTGATAGATAAGCAATCACCAAATATCTAAATGATATTCCATGAATTATCTAAAACTAAGCAGTTTCAGTTTTTCAGAAATTCTGAAGGCAAAAAAAGGCAAAAGTGAACCTTGTCTTAAAAAAGAAGACCGCCAAAATAATGTCAGTTTAAAATCCAACCAAACACGGTATCCATAATGTGAACAAATGCCTCAACAAACACTGTCGGGAGAACCACACAGAAATACTCCAGTACACGTAAAACATACATAGCAGTATATAATGTCGTAAATATTCCACCGAAAAATCGAATGATGCTGAGTAGACAATCAATCAAACACTGACTACACGACACGTCGGTACATTTGCAACAATTATCGAAACATGTGCAACAATTATCGCAACATTTGCAACAACTGTCGAAACATTTCCAGCAATTGTCACACGATTTACACTTTAGGCCCTCACAACAGGAGTAGCTGCAGGCACATGGACAGCAATTCCACCAGAAGAAGCCGCTGTTATACGTTAAGTAGCTGCATGTCAAATAGTGACATCCCTCGTACCTAAAAGGATACAAATGAACTGGTTAATTTGCAGACAAAATTCGGAAAAAAGTGTTTATCCACATTTTACAAATTTCTTAACTAAGTTTAAACTTATTCGTTTCCAAAAATCTACGGATATATGTACAACTGAGATTTGAGACAAAGTGAATTAGCCGTTTAACACATGTGGTACATAGAATTTTCTTCTCAATGTCTCTATAAAATCCCCTTGCTGTTATATGGAGCAATTTGTTTCTATAGTAGGTAGATCCGTTTTTAAAGTTATGTTTAACTTTAAAATATAAAAAGGTATTTAAGGATTAAAACTGTTTCATGACTCATACAGAACCATTTTTCTTACACTTTCTTTAGTCATCGTCGTCGCAAGCCAAGAGTTTTGTGCCCATTTCATTTCTCTAAACCTGTCCTTACCTGGATTCTTCCTCTGACAGGACACACAACACACAAAGCGTGGACATTGTACCTCCACTAGGACCTTTCTCAGGCTGCTAAGCGTGCTGTTCCAACTTGCATTGTTCCGTCTTTACCAACCGCCCCACTTCCCTCTACCTCAGACGTCCTTCTGGCGGTCATAACACAGTTATTAGTCGGATATTTCTTTAGCATATGGCCATACCAATTATATCTCCTACTCCTCACCTAGCCACAGATGCTTTCTACTTCTTACCTCTTTGAAACTGGCTTGTTTGAGATATGCTATTGCCAGCTAACCTTGCAAATCCTTCTGAGACATTTGGTTTGAAACATGTCAATTCTCTGTCAATTCCTCTGTCTTATGAACTCAGAAATTTAACAGTCATATAGGATTAAACAAAACCCCTGTTTACGATTGTAAGAATGGGCAGCAATTTGCATTTCTTGGCATTCAGATTCATCCAAAATTTTGAAGTGTTTTCTTTCTTTTTATTTTCATTGTAGACTTCAGATGTTCATTGTTGATGGCAGGAGGGCAATTCCATGCGCAAAGCAGAGATCCTCAGACAGAGTGGAAGAGTCTCATCGAATAAGCGTTCTCTCTTGTGTGAATGTCTGTTGCATCATCTAGTATTATAAGGAGAAACAAGAAAAATGACATAGAGCAGCTTTGTTTGAAGCTGGTCATCACAGGGAAAGGGGCTGTATTCTCGTTGTCGTCAATCACAGAACACCGAAAGTCTTCATTCAGGGCCTTAATCATCTAAATCAGAATTCTAGGTATTCCATATTTCTTCATGATGATCCAAAGACTGTCAAGCTATCTCAAAGTCCACAAAATGTTGAACAGGGTAGTGTGCTAAAGGATGTTCAAGAGAATGGTGTTCGGTTAATAGTTCCTTTTCCTCTTTGGAACTTTGCTTGCGCTTTTCGAACAAAGTTGTCAACTCCGATCTGTATTATATTCTGTTGATGAGTATTTTCTGAGCACTTTGCTAGTTTTGGGCGGCAAGGTCACCTCTCTCTAGCTGCTAAAGTATTGTAGGCGGCAATTTTTTTGATTTTACTGATCAGTCCTTTCGTCCATTCCTTCTATATCTTGTCAAAATTCAGTTCCTGACTGGTCAGATAGAGATTTGCTTTTAACATTTCTGTCGATATCTAATTAACTGGCTGTCATAGCCTTCACATTCATAAACGGCTTTAGTGTAGCCCTCTACCTCTTCATGTTCGCCTTACGGTCGTAGCTTTGGAGTGCCCCTTTTGAGTACTACCTTAAAGTGTTCTTTCCGTCCGTTTTTATTTATTTTATTTTATTTTCATTAGACAAGGGTTTCTTGTGTAAAGCTTCAGATCATTGTTTCAAAGGATGAATGTGTGTCATTTCCATTTTCAAGAACAAGGACCGGGTACCACACTCCTGGCTTGCGATAATACCTGTCCTTCAAATCATTCACTTAAATAAATGCAGTGTAAAATAAATTTTGTTAATTTTGTAAAAAAAAAAAAAAAAAAAAAAAAAAAAATGAGTACTAATTTGTTGCAGCCATATTTCTCTGCTAATAATAACCAAGAAAGCAGGATATTGTTTTTTTTAAATTTTTTCCCACAAGAACACTCTTAAATTTTAGAACAGATTCAAGAAAGACATATAATTTGGAGTAATTAAGGACGGTGTAGAGTTTAGTACAGATCAGCCTTTAAACCTTTCAAATTATCTTAAAGTTATGACAAAAACATTAATGAGAGTTTCAAAGCAACTAAAACATTTTTTTAAAAGACAAACGAAAGTTCTTATTCCTTTTTAAAGTGGGTTTGAGGCTGTTATTATTTTATGTGGATGCATTGGCCAAACTAAAACCCAACTCTTCATTCAAATATTATTGTTAATTTGAAAGATATATAGCATACTTATATTATAAATTCAAGAAGATTGACGTATGGATATAAACTTTTACTCACCCATGGCAGAGAATGACACATGGAAAACAAACTTCCACGCAGGACCAAAACATTCTTGTGCAAAGTGCTCCACATAGTCTACAGCAACCAGAACAGCAACTACAGCAACAGCAATCACTTCGTTTGCTGCGTTGTACTTTACGTTTGACAACTCCGCCACTTCCATCGCAACATTTGCTACTGGTGATATAGCGCCAAACACTGGCTAATTCAGAGCTAAGGCCGTTTAAAAAGCGCTTAATTTTCTTTCCATTCCACTCTATCTCACAGTTAAAACATATGATGTTATCGTACTTCAGGAGTAGGTAGTTTTGTGGAATCTCCACAAACAATGTTGTGAAGAAGACCTCGACTTTGCCATCAATTTTGTCTGGTATTGTCGCTGCTGGGTCACGCTTGTGATTTAAAACTATCTGATAAATTATCTTGGCTAGTTGAAAGGCGGAGAGAACGGAGCCAGCAATAGTAAAGTACATGAACTTTTTAGTCAGTTCATCTTTTACCGAGTCGTCCGTGCAGTATGATGCGTTTTGGGGTAATGGACCACTGGTACTCGTTGCTCCAGACGAAGCAGGTGCGTTAATGATATAAGAAAGTTTGTCCTTGATATCAATGATTGGGTCCTCGATGTCAGCATATTAAAGCCAATCCAAAACGACGTTCCCAATTATCAGAAGCGCTGACAAAACACGAGTGAACATATACCAGCAGACGTTCCTTGGTGTTCTCTCTCTCTCCTCCTCCTCCTGGTTCAAAGCACGCCCTCTCTCATTGGAATCGTGGTCTTCGTCATGAGAATATCCCCTATTCATCACACCCATTTCTAAGTCTTCTCCTTGACGATCCATTTTAATGAAAAATAAAATACTGCTTGTTTTTGTTACTACTTTTCCCTATACAGTCTCGCAGCCAATGCTTGATTTGCACCATACTTGATATCTTTTAGTTGAAGAGTCATATTACGCAAAATCAAGATTGTTTATCTATTGTTCTTGACACTACACGCAGTTTTATCTCTCATTTCCCCAAATTCATATTCGTCGAAAAGGAATTATAAAGAATAATAAAGAAAAGTCAAATTAAAGAAATATCATTTTGTTTTTTAGCTTAATTTGACCCCGATGAAAATATAGAAATCTTCATGAAATGTTTCTCCAGTGACCATATTTAAAGATTTTAGGATTTGAATGTGCCTAACGTTCATGTAACCGTTTTATGAAGAAAAAGATAAACTCAGGATGGTGCAGCATAATAGTGTTATTTTTATAATAATGTTGAAAACATAAAACTTGTCATAAGACATTCTACTGTATGCAGTGGACATGCGGGCAACGTCATATTCACTTCATTTTTTAGCATACCTTAGCTGAAAGCTGAAAATTGTTCACATTTTTAACTTTATCTTAAGAACCACTGGAGAAATTTCAAACAAACTTGGAACAAAGTGCCCTTGATTGAAGGGTTAACGTTTTAATAAATGTTAGACTATAAAAATGTTGATGAATGCACAAATGTATTAAGTTTAATCAATGTGGTGATGAATTTGAATTATACATTTTTAAATGTTGTTACTATGCTATGTGTAAAAACTCTACCCTAACTGATTTCAGATTTGTCCTTAAATGAAAAAAAAAATCATTTTGATTATATTCATGAATATCCCAGTGAGTTTCAATAAATCTCAGTCTACAATTTCTTTAAAAATGACCAATAAATTACCTAAAATTTAAATAAAAGAGTGTACTTTTATCTTATCTTTTTTTTTTTTACTTTTACCCACCACTATATTTTAAACACAAATGACATAATGAGGCCATATGCAATTTAATTCGATACCGGTTTGTCATTCAGATCTCTTAGGTAAATAAGGGTTGGCCAACCCAGAGTACAAAACTTTAAATATTGGAAAAAAAGTCTCTATAGACAAGATAGAGCATCGAGGATCGAATGCAAAGGGGCAAAAGAGTGAAAAAGAAATTTCTGCAGCCAAACAGAAAACTTGATTCGAGGATTCTGGGTCAAAAATGGATGACAGGCAATATGAAAGAAGAGGAGAGATATATAGTGCATCAAATACAGACTCTGGGGCTTTCTTTCCACGGAGTCTATTGCCCACAGGATATTTTTCTGGTAGTCATCAACCTGCTGAAAATAATCCAACCAGCTACATATCGCCTGGATATTATCCACATGGTATTCAATCAGCAGTACTTAATAATCCTCCAGGGAACATTGAAATGACTCCCAGAGATCGAGGTTTACCGCCCCAGAGCATGGTTTACATGGTAGGTCATGTTAATGAGAATAGGAATAACGCATTTCCATCTTATGAACAAAATCAAGTTTACAGTAACCAGCAGCAAACAGATATTACCGAGGAACCTCCAAAGCCAAGAAAGGTATGGTGGTATACTGTCTGCCGCGTATTTTCAGCCATTTTGATTATTCTAAATGTCACATCCGACTGGCTACAGTATGCTGACATGGAAGATCCTATCGAAAACACTAAAAATACACTCAAAATCACAGTAAATGATTGCCCAAACTCTCAAGAATTCGATTCAGGGGAAGTGGCGAATCAATATTTATATTTTACTATTGCTGGTACTGCCCTCGCCTTTCTTCAGATGGTCAACATCGTTTACCAGATTATTCAGAATCACCGCTTAGATCCTACCAAAGAAATTCCTAATCATCTGGATGAACGAACTGAAGTTTTTTTGGTGACGACATTTGTTGAAATACCACAAAATTTTCTACTTTTTCGATATGAAAAACTTATTTGTTTAGAATGTGTAGTAGAATGGGACTCCAAAAATATCAAACGATTAATTAATGGTTTAGTGGCCTGGGTAAGCAGCATTTGGCGCTATATAACAAATGTGAAAGTAACTTCAGGTAACAAGAAAAACGGAGGCTGTTGCACAAATCCTTGTCAGAAGTGTGGTGATCGCTGCGGAAACTGTATCAAAAAGTTCTGCAGTGGTTTGCTGGAATGCCTTTGTCCCTGTTGCTGTTGTTGCATTGAGTAAGTACATAGTTGTTTCAATGTTGAAAAAAGAAAAGAAGAGATGTCTTTATATATGGTTTGAAATGTTGAACCTTTTTTTAAAGCACACCCTTTTGTCATCTCAATCGTTCTCTTAATTGCTTTTTCTTTTCAATTTAGTTGCAAGACATTTTTCCCCTGCTGTTGTTGCTCAATCATCAGCAAAAAAGGAAGCTGTTACACGGAATGTTGCTGTAATGGAAATTGTTGCAAAGGCGACCACAACGAGCCCTCTATACTGGCCAAGCTGGCAGCACTACCCACGACTCTCTACACATTCCTCTACATAGCCAGGGTGATGAAACCTTTCTGCAGCTTGTCGGGAATCTACCAGTACTACAAAATTGCTCCAATATTTATAAACGAAGTTATCATCAGTTGGGTTTGGGACAAGATTTTCTGAGCGACAGTAACCTCTACTTAAATCAGTACTAGCAGTGTGTTTAATTTAACAATCAATCTGTTAAGCATTCTAATTTGATTTCAACATATCCAGTATAAATTGATTAAGTTAAACTTATATGTGCTTCTCTGTAAGTAATTAATTAATTAAATTGTTTATCATAGTGACATGTGTTATACAGTACAATTAAAAACATTTAATACAATTAATATCCAAACACCCGGCCCATGGGACCTTTATGTCACTTTTAACAAAATATATGAAAAGATCGGTATACACGATAAGATTTGTAGTATAATATACATGTATTATAATACTTTTGTATTATAATACTTTCTTGTACTCACGCTAATACATATTTTATAAGATTGTAAATAAACTATGTATTCCAACGCGTTTCTCTGCCATATTTCTCTCTTTGTCAAAATAATAAGAATGGAGGATGAGTTTCTGATAGTAGTGTCTATCATCGTACTATGCACTGCTTGATATATTCCACAGGTCCTTTTCCCCTTCCCATAAAACCAGGAGTTTTCCGATGTCTTTACTTGTAAAGTCGGTCATTATTATCTCCCATGTGCTTTTTTTAGTAATGATAAAAATAGGATGACCCATAGTGTCATAACATTTCATTGGTTGAAAGTGATATGTAAGCTAAGACTTGTATTAGAAAACAGAGCATTGCTCTATTCTTAATACAGTTTTATAAGATTCAAAAAATCTTATGATACACTGTATTAAGAGTGTATACACAATAAAGGCCGGTATACACGGTAAGATTTGTATTATACTACAAAATCTTACTGTGTATACACTCTTAATGCAGTGTATCATAAGATTTTTCGAATCTTACAAAACTGTATTAAGAATAGAGCAATGCTCTATTTTCTAATACAAGTCTTCGCTTGCCTATCACTTTCAACCAATGAAATGTAATGACACTAGGGGTCATCTTATTTTTATCATTACTAAAAAAGCACATGGTAAATTGGAAGTAAAGACATCGAAAAAGTCGTGGCTTAATGGGAAGGGGAAAATGACGTGTGGAAGATATCACTCAGTGCATAGTACGATGATAGACACTGCTATCAGATCTTCATCCTTCATTTTTATTACTTTGACAGAGAGAGAAATATGGCGGGGAAAACACGTTGGAATACGTAGTTTATTTACAATCTTATAAGATTTGTATTAGCGTGTGTACAAGGAAGTATTATAATACAAAAGTATTATAATACTTGTATTATACAACAAATCTCATCGTGTATACTGGCCTTAAGATACACACTATGATTTTGTATTATAATACAAATCTTACCGTGTATACCGGCCTTAAGACGTGTGTTATCTTCGAATAGCTAATACGTATATAGCTAAAAATCGAAAAAAAGGATACCCTTTTAAACTTTATCAATTCTTCAATTAAATGTTGGCCTCATAAATATAAATTGAAACTAGACACATGCATCACCTAGATATTAAAAAAATGTATTCCACTTTAAGAATATAAAACATAAACAGTGTAGAGTATGTTTTTATGCGACATGTAGATAGTAAATGATATGCAGCTTTATATATTAAATAGGAAAAACCTATATATTTTTACAGCCCCGACTCATGGAGGTATTTATATTATGTATCTCGTAATTTACTAGGGGAAAGAACATTGTGATTAATAATCTATTTAATGTTTAGAAAACCTTTAATTCTGAATAACTTCTCCCAGCTCTATCCCCATACACCAATACTTAAAGTTATATGTGTAGAGCAGCCCGGTCCTAGGGGTTGCAATAAGTTTATGTTAAAAGAAAACTGGGAAAAGCACGCAACCGTCTTTTAAAAGGAAATTTCAAAGTTCTTGAAAATGTGGTTTGAATTGGAAAGTTGTTTGGGAACAAGACATTGCGTTTATCTTGTAATGAAAATTTTCGGTATAAAAGTATGTTGTATGCAGTCAGTTCCGCAGGTCTCTGTAATCCAACAGTTTCTTTAAAAAAACCTTGCACTTAAAGGCGTTCAAAATCTCAGCAAAAATTCAGGAATATCACAGGATATCACGACAGATGGATATGTTAAATATCATGGAGAGATATGTATTTTTTCAACGCCCAACGGCCGAAAACTATGTGAAAAGGGGTTAAGAAATCTGCGTGTTTTCGTAATAAAAAATGACAATATTGCATAATATATGAGTGCTTCTAACATGCATCTGTCTATCAATTACGTTGGTTAT